GTCACTCTGCTTCAAAACAGTCCTATCAGTGATCAAACAACACTCAGCCAGCTTCAAACATTGTACCTTATTGAAATCAGGTGTGATTATGATAGCTGATGTTGTTTATGACACAGAAACACCATAAAATATCACCAAATAAAGCCATATGTAACTTGAAAGTTATGATCCCATTTTCTAGACTGTATATCGCAGCCAAAAATAGTGGTAGGAGTGAGACTCTTACCTTTTATAAAACAGCTAAGTCCTTGCTAACAGCTCCACATAAGATCGCAAGTAATCCTTTAACTTTTCCCGTCGAAAAACGTCATGACATGACTTGTCACCACTCATCATGATTTTGGACTTTGTGTGTTTAGGCTGCTCTGGTGCAAAATACAGAATAAATAAAGAAAAACGATGTTATTTTTGAAAAGTCGAGAGCTTCCTGAATCCAGGTTAAAAAATATCAGTGTTGCTGACCTGAAACTGTGTTTGCGTGGACGAGAGGCTGAAAGATGGAGAAAAATATGCTTTTACAAAAAACGTCTGGATGCATAATAGACAGGGTCATAGTTTGACCTTTAGTGTTGGTATCTGATGAGTTGGGAAAGAGAATGTGTCGAAGCTGTAAACCTTCACAAATTGTGATGTTACGCTGGACGCACAGGATGTTACGTTATGATAATGACGCTCTGTCCCTCCTTGTGTTTGTTTCCTCTCTCCTCCCTCGTGTGTGAGCAGCGCAGGGTGTAATACGGACCAACAGCTGCCAGTCAGACAGCAGTGGCTTCTTAGAGGAGCCCTTCATCCCCTCCCTCTCCCAGCAGGCATCACCAGGACCTGATCTCATCAAGGTCTCTCACTTACTAACACATACTCACTTCTCTCACAAGACCCCAACTTGACTAAAGTGCAATGCTAAACCATTTACGATACTGAAAGGGTTTGGTGGAAACGTGGCTTAACAGTTCCTGTGTCTGTATGTTTGACTCTGTGTTGTCTGTTTGGTTGCAGGCTCTGGCGGGCCTGTCAGGAGGGAGCACCGACAGCCAGAGCAGTGAGAGGCCGGGCTCCCCGTCTCCTCCGTCCTCTCACACCCCTCCATCTCTCCTTCACTCCTCGTCTCTGACCTCTTCTGCTGTTGATAAATCTCCCCTTCCCTCACCCTGTCCTTCACCAGAGCCTTCACCCTGTAGCCCCTCCCCAGAGACAGAGAGTCCACCAGATCAGGTTCAGTCTCCACCTGACTCACTGCCTGTAGCGGCGTGCGATCACCTTCCTCCTCGCTCATCCTCAGCCGAGCTACAGATCGTTACTGGCTCCCAATCTCCAACGTCTCCCGCCTCCTGTACCTCTGCCTCCCCTACGTCTCCCCCCACGCAACCTGCCTCGTTGATTAAAGAGTCAGAGGAGATTGAAATGGAGGATAAGGATCCTCCATGCCCCCACCTGTCCACTGCAGTTCATGACTCTAAAGACGCAGCAAGTGTCCCTCCTCCTTCCTTATCTCCTCCCCCCTCTCCAAATTTGGATTGCCAGTTTTCTGCCTCCGCTGCAATGTCTCCTACACAGTCCGACTCCTCCTCTTGGAGTCCAGGGAGCAAACAGTCGGAGCAGAATGAGGTGGCTTTGTGTGAAAATTCCCCCTCTGCTTCTTGTGGCTTATCACCTCTGCTTCCCCCTTCCCCCGACGAATCTCCCTCTGTGCCTCCTAACTTTAATGTTCCGCCCTCTTCATCCTCTCCCTCACTAACTGAGTCCCTCTCACAGAGTCCAGAAAACAGTCAAAATGATTCCCTTTCCCCAGACTCAGATGGAACAAGCCGCTCCGATCCAACTACCAACACACAAAAGAAAGAGGAAGAAACACCGTCATCTCTGCCCTCTCAGTTGGACGAGGACAAGTCAGACGGCTGTGCCACACTGTCCTGCCTGTCTCCTCACTCCTACACTCCAGTTTATCAGTCTGCCTCGTTATCTCCATCACACAATTCAGAGAGTCTGACAGATCCAACTGTTGGAGGAATATCAGATCTGACCGAGCAGTCCGTCTCCCAACAGGAGGGACCATGCTCTCATGATCATAACACAGACCCTGCTCCAGCCTGTCCCGTCCAAGATGTTATTCATGATAAGATGAATCACCTCTCCCTGGACCTCGGAGAGGGAGAGGGCGAGAGACACACTGACACTGTGCAGACTCCAGAGGCAGCTGTTTACATCTCAGACACAGAGAGCTCTGCGGGCCTGTCAGAGGGTTCTCGATTAGTCTCTGAGGAAGTATGTAACCAAACAGAAATAGATCTACAGGTCCCATCCTGCAGTTTGCATGATGACCTTTCAACTGGAACCAAACCGGAAGAGTGTGAAAGGGGAGAAAATAGCTCAGAACGTGAATCTCTCAGAAGTCCTTCAGTTTTAGTGGAAGTGGAACCAGAGGGTCTCATTAAGATTGAGAGCTTAGATGTGGTATTTCAGACCTCAGTGGATGGATCAGAAGGTGAAAATGAAGACGTGGAAGCCTTTTTTCAGCAGCTTGATTCAGAGGGGCGAGTCTATTGGGCAGAACCCATCCGGGTTTCCAATCCGACCCCCGTGAATGAAGACTCAGACAGCTTTGAAGCCTCAGACAGATCTCCTGGAGGCCTGGATGTTCTAGATCCATTTTTATCGTCATCATCCCCGACAACAACAGACACTGACCAGACGTCAAGAAATGCAACTGCCTCCCCAGATACCAACTCCTCCGTAACCCTAGCTCCAATCCAATCCCCCTCAGCACCCCCGCACCTCAAGCCATCGAGCCGCTCTGTCTCTGTCCAGATGCCTTCGTCTCTGTCTTCTCATATTGTCCACAGGAAGGATGTTCCCTACATGACTGACTCAAAACGCACCCTTCTCCCCAGCGTTCTAACACTGGACACCTCCACCCCTTTCCGTGCTGTACAGTCATGGACAGACCAGCAGATCCAACGAAACACTCTCACCAAGAAGTTATCACACGGAGCTCTTCATGCCGCCCCAAAGGAAGTAACCGTATCCACAAGTGCCACAGAAGCAGCACAAAGACGGGCACTGAACTTCTCTTCGTCTCCGTATTTCCCTCTGCTGTCTGACGACTGGCAGTCACATGACTGTCTCCCCGGGGTGGCTGGAAGTTACCATACGATGTCAGTCTCTATGGATAAGGGGCTGTGGCCTGACGAGGAGGAAGAGGTGGATGGTGATGAAAATGAAGATGAGGAGAAGCTTTGGGAGGGCAATCAGACAGCCACCATGGCATGCTGCTGCTCCTGTGACCATCAGCATACCTGCTGTGCTCAGAGGAGCTACAACAAGCAACACACTCTGGGAAACAGTCCTGTGAGTAATTCAACTCTCTCGATGGTGTGACATGATTTAATTTTAGGTTTTCAGTTCCACTTTTGAACCTGCTCATATCCACACATTTTATAATGTACAGAAGTTTAAAGTTG